ATTAAGAATCATTTAATGATCAATGCTCAAGAATTCTGAGGAAAAAAATAAGATCAAAATTAACAGAATGTGGTAAAATTTATCATATATCTACTTTTATGTGAAACCATCTCGGTAATTCTTACCGAAGCGCTTTAGTAATGATTTCGATATAGTTAACAATAAAACATGGTTTTATAGTATGTGATAAAATGCGACAATTTTATCACGATACCTTAGACCGTGGCATAAGAACCGTTATTTTTCAGTTCTGTATTTTTTTTATTAAAAGTGCGGTAATTAGAACTATAATTTTGAAAACCAGAATATCTAGTTAACTGTTACCATAAGAACTGAAAAATCACCAATCAATATTTAAATGCCGTAAATTATTCTTTTTAATACCAGAAATTTTTTTGCCAAGATTTCATTATTATACAGTACAGAAATTACCAAAATATTTGTTTCTACAAAAAAAAGCAATTGAGACTCTTAATTGCTTTTTGAAAATAAAATCTAGTTTGTTTTGCTTTTTTTTGTTAGAAAAATTTTAATGCGGAATATAGTTTTTTTTTTTTTGTATTTTAGTTGTTAACTATAGTTTAGTTGCCCTCTGCTTGCCTTTCACAAATGTCATTACCCTCATTAAAACTAATTTTTATTGAAAAACATGGTTTTTATTAACTCACATTTTAGGTATTCATATACAAAACTCTTCAGGATATTTTGAGTAATTTGAAATTTCAGTCAAAAATTTTTTGAGTTTTCAAGTAGAACAAAAATATTTTCTAATGCGAAAAAAAATAAAAATAACTTTTTTAATGAAATATGAGATTCTTAAATATTTTATTACTTACTTATTAACAGACAGAAGTCCATTCTCGTCATACGATCAATAATAACGTCATAGGATCCAGCTTTAAATTCGTATTATGTTTATGTTTGCATTATCATGTTTCAATTATTTCATTTTGATATAGTAATGTCTTTGTGGTAATCATACCGTAAAATAACATTTCAGTACTATGCATGGATTAATTATGATTCCTCAATGCATTTAAATCTTTAAAATTTTAACGCAGTAAAAAAATCTTGGAATACAAACAATTTAACTACATTTGTTCCTTTTACTAGGTAGGTACTCAAAGCGTCACTTACAAATCAAGATGAAAACTTAAACAAAATTAAGTTTTTTTTACTAGAAAATGAAATATATTTAGTACGTTTTAACCATTTAACTTTTGTTGTAAAGATACAAATTGTTGAAAACCTAAGTTTAAGCAAAAGAAAATAAATAAATAAAAGCATAGATTTTGCCATATTTATGTTAAATAATAAATTTGGTTGGGAGAATCATTTTAAAAATACTTAAAAGGTAATTATATCTCATGATGAATCGTTATATTTATAATTTAGCAAATTAATTGTTTGTGATCTATAATTGCTAGTTCTAATCAAAATTATGTTATTCTAAGAAAACGAAGAACCTTCTAAAAATTTTGTATCTTTATGTATTTAATTTCAAAATTATGTATCCAAAGTATAGAATTTTAATTTTAGTTTTTTCATTTGATCGTTAAAATTTATCTTTGCAAAACCCAAATATCAATTTTTTTGTTCAAAGAGTAAATCTCTTAAAATAAAGCTATTTTTCTAAATCCAACTTTTTTACATATTTCTTGTTGGTGTATTTAATGTGAATATTGTAATTTTTGTTAATTCATATTTTAATAATTACAGACAATATGAATTCTACTCACTTTCTTCATGAAGAAGCTTCATTTTTATTTACTTTGAGTACACTCAAGTTTTAATTATTTATAATTGTTCAGCAGTAGTTGTTTCTTATAGCGAATGATTAGAATATAATAATTTAACGATTAAAATAAATGCCTTATTTTAATCGTTAAATTACTATATTTTATATAGTAATTTAACGATTATAATTGTTTGTTAGAATAAAATGGTCTGTCATTAGTAAAGAGTGAGAAGAAGAAACACATATTTTATTAAAACCTTTATTGACTTATTCATATTTTATACAAAAGGAACCTAAATGTTATTAACATATGTAAGTGAATTTGTTTAAGAGCTATATATCTGTACATTACAGACTTGCAAACAATGATTATTATTAATATGTGGCAAAAGACATGATAGTGGAAAAATTTATGACGCCAATGGGATTTTGTTTCAGTTTTTAAAACATTAAGTAAAGTCTCATTTAAAGTGCATGAATGCATATTTAAAATTATCATTTAATTTAGACCATATAAAATTCAGATAAATTTGTTTGTATAAGGTTTCCATACGTTAAGAAGTCCCTCGTACTATTATAGACTGTATTAGCATTTTGTGACAATATTGTACTAATTACACACACATATATATAGATATATATGTGGATAATAATAGTGGATTGTAATTAAAATAAGTCTAATTGGAGAATGTTTGGCTATTCAATAAATTTTTCCACTAGTACGCACAAGAGTTTAAAATTATGTTAATCTCATAAATCATATTAAATAATCTGTGTTTCAAATAATACCAACAGATTGTTATTAAAGTGTGTCTGTCTCATGAATTGGTTAGAAACTAGTTTTTTTCACTATTATGTATGAGAAATTAATTGCTATGTTCTTAAAAAAGTTAAATTTTTAATTTTAAAACTAGGAAATGTTCAAAAACATATGTTATATTTTAAACAACATCTGAATAACTTTTATGTAATGAATTTTATGTAATGACTTGTTTGTAGTGTTTTATAAAATCTCAATAACGTGGACAAAAAGTAATAATTTTGCTTTCAACATCCAATATAGAAGGTTTCTTATAACATTAATCTCCTCTTTAAGCATTCAAACACCACATCATGTAACAATGAATAATTTTAGAAAGATCCATCACTGTGCAAAACTTGAGTAGTATTTCTTTTAAAAATTGCAGCTTGAAACTTTACAAATTGTAGCTTCTATCAGTTGCTTTTATTTTCCAAATTGCCTCAACATTTTGTTCCGGATTTAAATAATGCGATTCATTTTTAGTAGTTCACTATAATTATTCTCCTTCGAGCTTATTAGTACAAAATTTTCTTATTTACGTCATACACAGTCTTCTCGCATTTCACTCGTAAAGAGTAATTTTGTTTCTAGGTAAATGTAAATGGAGAAATGTTGATGCACAACCTCTTAAATCTTTTAGCACCATCTGCTTTACCTTTTACCTTCTCTTCACTCTTTATCCAAATTGTGTTTCCTTATAACACTAATTTTATAATTCAGTTTATTGAAATTTGAAAACTAAACTAATCAATAGTTATGGCTACACCGTGGTTTCTTCTCTTTTATCCCTATAATGCCTGAAAAAGAATAATAGCAATATAAATATTTAGTTTGTATTTATATTCGTTAGATAATAAGCATGTACAGGATGATTCAGAACTAGTGCTCAATAGTTTACTTGTAGATTAAGAATATGATAGCAAGCAAGAATCTTACAGGAATGTGCGATTGCAAACACAATACAGAAGCGCTACGTGGCATATGCGCACTAAATGACACAAGCGAGAGAGTTCAACAACAGTCGTAATGTATTTAAAGAAAAGGATTTATATACCGTATTTGCTTAAAAGAAAGTTTTAAGTCTGGTGTTCAATTTTGTGATTTGCAACTGCAGTATATGCGCCTCAACAACAACTCATGGATCAGCGATTCCCCGCAAGAAGGTCTAGTGGATCGGCATTTATCTTGAAGTATTAACCCCAAGATATACAGACACTAGCGAGAAAGTTTCGTAGCAGTCATAATTTATTACACACATAAGATTTTGCTTCGATGTTTTCCTTAAAAGAAAGTTTTAAAACAGGTGTTCAAATTTGCGATTTGCAACTGGAATATCTGCTTCACAACAACAGCACATCGATTAACGAATGTATGCAAGTAGGTTTGGTGTATCGGCAATAAATCTGAAACATTGGTCCCGGTTATATTCACGCATGCAAGAGAGGTCACAATTAATAAAACTTCAAATTTCACAGTCATAATTTACTACACAAAGCTTTTGGATGATATTTTTGATTAAAAGAAAATTTTAAAACTGGTGTTCAGATTTGCCATTTGCAACTATAGTATATGCGTCGCAACTGTAATGCATCAATCATTGATTACGCGCTAAAAAGGTCTGGTGTATCGGCAGTAACTTTGAAGCTTTTGCCTCAGGGTAATTCCCCATTTTTTGTAATCTCAAAAGGAAAAAAATCCATTGGTGAAGGCACAAGCAAACAAGTTGGACACTCTGTGGTGCACACTAGGATTGTGTTTAGATCATGAGATTTCTTACACTTTTCATTAAAGTTTAAAGCTTTTAGAGATTTGAGGGACCACCAATAAATTGCAAACAGAAAATAGTGTGTTTGAGCACCCTATGCCAAACAATTTCGCAATAAATTTGCAACTTGTAACAATTATTTTGGTTATTATATACAAGGATTGCACAAAATTTTGAATGCCTAGATTAAACATTTATGAAGATATAAATAATATTTTACTTAACAAATTTTTTGTCTTACATTTTTTAGCTATAACTCTAAAAATATTCTATAAAAGTAAACAAAATTTTTAGACCAATTTAAAATTATTTAAAGAATTTTTTCTTCAGAGTTTAAAAAGCATTCGTGGAAAATTGTGCAATATATAGGTGATTAAAGTAGCTTTTAATATTGCGCATGCACTACGAAAATATAACATTTATTTAAAAATTTTATAATGAATCGTATTAGACAAAAAATTTTATTTGAATATTTTAAAAATTCAAAACTTCCAACAAGCATTTTTAATCAGTTTTTGTGGTTTTTAAAGGAAATTCAAAGTGATAAGGGGTTGTCTGCAAATATTTTTGTGTATCATTTCTTATAATTTGTATTATCATTTGCTAAATAACAAATGATAATACTTTACAATGAACAGTCATACACCGAAGTATGATTGTATTAAGAGGGAAAACGTTCGAAAGAAAANCTCAACATTTTGTTCTGGACTTAAATAATGCGATTCATTTTTAGTAGTTCACCTTAATTATTCTCCTTCGAGCTTATTAATACAAAATTTTCTTATTTACTTCATACACAGTCTTCTCGCATCTTACTCGTAAAGAGTAATTTTGTTTCTAGGTAAATGTAAATGGAGAAATGTTGATGCACAACCTCTTAAATCTTTTAGCACCATCTGCTTTACCTTTTACCTTCTCTTCACTCTTTATCCAAATTGTGTTTCCTTATAACACTAATTTTATAATTCAGTTTATTGAAATTTGAAAACTAAACTAATCAATAGTTATGGCTACACCGTGGTTTCTTCTCTTTTATCCCTATAATGCCTGAAAAAGAATAATATCAATATAAATATTTAGTTTGTACGTATATTCGTTAGATAATAAGCATATACAGGATGATTCAGAATTATTGTTCAATAGTTTACTTGTATATTAAGAATATGATAACAAGCACGAATCTTACTGGCATGTACGATTGGAAACACAATACAGAAGCGCTACATGGCATATGCTCGCTAAATGACACAGCGAGAGAGTTCAACAACAGTCGTACTGTATTTTAAAAAAAAGGATTTATATACAGTATTTGTTTAAAAGAAAGTTTTAAGTCTGGTGTTCAATTTTGTAATTTGCAACTGTAGTATATGCGCAACAACTCATGGATCAGCGATTTCCCGCAAGAAGATCTAGTGGATCGGCATTTACCCTGAAGTACTAACCCCAAGATATACAGACACTAGCGAGAGAATTCCGTAAACAGTCATAATTTATTACACACATAAGATTCTGCTTAGATGTTTTCTTTAAAAGAAAGTTTTAAAACCAAATTTGTCCAAGTCCAAATTTGCGATTTGCAACAGAAATATCTGCGTCACAACAGCAACTCATTTATTAACCCCTTAACGATCGGTTAATTTTCAAGAAAACGGTCATAAAAGTGTCTATTTTGCCAAATACATGTATTTGATTAGTGCTAGTACCTAGTTTAAAGTAAACTAACTATTTACAGTTACCTTAAAAATATCCTGGTACTGCTATATGGTGTGTAAAATGAGAAATAAACTTTTTTCCGGGCAAAATAAATGATTTAGTTTTATTCTTATTGGCGCATTGCTACTGAACACTCCAGCCCGTCAATATCACAGGAGCGAGAAATAGCGAGCGAAAACTCACACCGTCATTTTCACGGGAACGAGAAGGAAGGGGGTGAACAAATGTTTGCAAGTAGGGTTGGTGTATCGGCAATAACTCTAAAACATTGGTCCCGGTAATATTGAAGCAAGTAAGAAAGGTCATAATTAATAAAACTTCAAAATTCACAGTCATAATTTACTGCACAAAGATTTTGGATGATATTTTTGTTTAAAAGAAAGTTTTAAAACTGGTGTTCATTTTTGCCATTTGCAACTGTAGTATATGCGTCGCAACTGTAAAGCATCAATCATTGATTACACGCAAAAAAGGTCTGGTGTATCGGCAGTAACTTTGAAGCTTTTGCCTCAGGGTAATTCACTTTCTTTTGTAATCTCAAAAAGAAAAAAATCCATTGGGGAAGACACAAACAAACAAGTTGGACACTCTGTGGTGCACACTAGGATTGGGTTTAGATCATGAGATTTCTTACGCCTATCATTAAAGTTTAAAGCTTTTAGAGATTTGAGGGATCACCAATAAATTGCAAACAGAAAATAGTGTGTTTGAACACCCTATGCCAAACAATGTCGCAATAAATTTGTAACTTGTAACAATTATTTTAATTATTATATGCAAGGATTGCACAAAATTTTGAAAGCCTAGATTAAATATTTATGAAGATATAGATATTATATTACTTTACAAATTTTTTGTCCTACATTTTTTAGCTATAACTCTAAAAATATTCTATAAAATTAAACAAAATTTTTAGAGCAATTTAAAATTAATTTCAGAATTTTTGCTTCAGAGTTTAAATAACATTCGTGGAAAATTGCGCACTATATAGGTGATTAAAGTAGTTTTTTATATTGCGCATGTGCTACGAAAATTTAACATTTATTTAAAAATTTTATAATGAATCGTATTTGGCAAAAAATTCAATTTGAATATTTTAAAAATTCAAAATTTCCAACAAGCACTTTTTAATCAGTTTTTGTGGTTTTTAAAGGAAATTCAGAATGATAAGGAGTTGTCTGCAAATATGTTTGTGTATCATTTCTTATCATTTGTTAAATAACAAATGATAATACTTTACAATGAACAGTCATACAACGAAGTATGATTGTATTAAGAAGGAAAACATTCGAAAGAAAAGATACTTTTAAGGGGGCGTGATCTTCAACAATGCCGACGTTATTCTTGATAAATATTTTTTAATAGTACAAAAGGAAATTTGTGGAAAACCCCGTAACATTTTGAGCTTTCCTTTAATAAGTGCAAAAATCCATATTCAAATCCGACTTTTTTATTAGATGTGATTCACTACAAATTAAGAAAAAACAAATCTTAATTTTTCGCGTGGATGCACAGTATGAGAGAAATACTTTTATTTCTCATATCTTGAGCAGTTTTAACATTTTTTTCCGAAATTTAAAAGCAATAATTTTTTAATTAATTTTAAATTGATCCAAAATTTAATTTAATTTTATTGAATATTTTAAAAGACATCGCAAACAAACATAAGACAAAAAAAAAGTTTTTTTCCAGAGAAATGTTCACATTTCCATAATTATTTAATCGAAATTGTGTACAGTTATCGCAAATAATAACCAGAATAATTGTTACAAGTTACAAATTTATTGCTCCTTTCTTTGGCATAAGGCATCCTAAAACATTATTTTTTTGTAATTTAGCGTCGGTCCCTAAAACCACTAAAAGCATTAAATTTCACTGATCTATAAGAGAAATCGCATAACCAATACACTTCTAAATTTGTTAAATTATTGTCTAATTATTTTGAAGAAATATCAAAAAATGTGTTAAAATAGGAATAATTTTGTCCAACCCCTGTGTGTCATCGAATGTTAGCTGTTTATGGTGAGCGAACATCAATTGCGAGAAAATGTTGCATATGTTAACATGAAGAGTATGTGTCAATATATTTTAATATCAGATCAACCAAGTGATGTATTGCTGAGGTGAAATTAATAAAAATACTGAAAGACATCCTAACATCTGTTTAGCATTTTGTGTAAATAAACAGTACAAACCACCTTCGGTAACAAAAGAAACATACTGTGTCATGTTGATCCACTTTGGACGCGCCCATCTAATGCTAAATGACTGATAACTCAATCATGCGCAACCTGGGGTGCGCTTTATTATCCTGGATAATGGGCTTTTGTCACTACTGTATTTCTGATGCTTGTCTATTTTTCACTTGAGCAACGCTTACAAGAAGAAAACAATACTTGATTTTCTAATGATTATTCATTGTTCTGAAAATATAATTCTGAGGATCACACATTGAAAATTACTTTTTTCTTCACCTTATCTATTTCAAATCTTACACATAAATTACTTAAAATATTACTTTTAAATAAATTAATAACTTTGCTTAATAACTAATACCCCTTATGGTATACCCAAAATTAATTATTTTGAACACAAACTGATAATATATTCGTGAAAATTTATGTGCTCAACTATTCAAATATCCACAAGCGTAAATAAGCAAGTTAATCATACGGTAATATCACATTTAAATTTCTCAAACCCATTTATATAAATGTGTTTCTTTAGAAAATCATTTGTATATATTTGATTCAAAATCAGCAGTTCTTCAAAGGTAATTCGATCAATGTTCAATTACTGAGGCATAATAATATTAATTAATGCAATAATACATATTTCATTTAATTTGATCTCAAAAAATTAAATATAAAAGGATTTCTGTTTATGACATTGTGATTCGTATATTTCCTCACCCTATTTTTTATTTGTTTATTATTTATTCATTTAGTATTTTTTTTCGTTTTCGTTTTCAGTTTCGACTTCAATTTTTCAATTAATTTCTTATTTATTCCTCGATCGGTGCTTCAAGCTAATCTATTCTCCATCTTTCGGATATAGATCGGATCTCCAAACTATTCTAGATCTTTTGAATTAAATAATGCAATGTTTACGTTTTGTAACATCCAATTTTTTTTTCCAAAAGATTCCAAATTGTTTCTATAAATAGACGTTGTATGGATAACGGAACCCTTCTTTTTACTAAGATTGCATTTGGTTGGATACATATTTTTAGACTACACGCTTTATTGTAGAATTTATTAAAGCAGCGCTTGCTGCTGAAATTTGATTAGTTTTGATTATGATATGTAAAGTGATTTTACTTACCTAGAAGTAGAATTCCTCATTGGAATAAGTGATTTTGATTTAATTTTTGAATTCTTTTTTGAAATTAAGACTTAAAAAGATCACTTGCATGAGATGCTCAAAAAATGTATGTAAAAGTTTTCTTTTTAAAAATTCTAATGTGTACCCTTGGCTCAGTTTATTACAGATAATGACTTCATTACAGATAATGATCAATGACTTCTGTTGCAGATAATGATTCTGTAATAATGACTAATTACAGAATCTTCATTTAAAAACCTCTCCTCAAAACCTTTAAAAACCTTTCCAAAGTACCCCGCTGTCGAGCTATAGTGTATTGCAGATAAATGAATGAAAAAAATTAATCTACCTCTTATTAGTTATTTTCATAGGCTTGTATTGTTTTCTTCAAGCAATTCAACACCATTCATGGAGAGTTTTCCTTAAATTGAATATTTTCCTCATTTCGCGTTGTCTAATTTTACTCTTCTAAAGGTTCTGGAATAATGCAGTTTAATATACCCCAAGTTGTCTTGGAAATTATGCGCTTTACGTGCTTATAAGCTATTAAAAAGTTTGCATAAACTAAATTAAAATGAATTTTATTAGTTTAATTTCTGTTTACTACAATTCTCTAGGAATGTTTGCATTTCAATTCTCTTAATTTTGAACTTTCAATTTATATATCTTAATTTTTTAAATTTCTTTGATTAACATACACTAAAAATGAACCTAACATTTACTTCACAACTAAATATAAACACCATTTTAAGTTTGTTTCAGTTTTATAGGTCTTTTTAATCTAAGTACTCTATAATTAATTGTTACGATACGATAATGAATGAATAGTAATTAAAAGGAAAATAGTAATTTAAAAAGGAAAATATATATTTCTTTTAAAAATAAACCTGAGGTTTTAGTTCTTGAAGGAAAGCTTCCAAAATTATTTCTTCGCTTTTATTCTTATTCTTAAATTTAATAAGAAAACAAACAAAGGGAGAACTATGAGAGTAAATAGTCACCAGAAACTATTTGTTCTGCTGGATTATTACGAAACAGTAGAAACATTATTTTCTCTTTTCAATTATAAAGCATAACGTACAAAATACTCATTTAAAAAAAGGATTAAATAAATCCGTAATTCGCGAACTTCGAACTGTAAATATGCACAATTATTTTAAATTGCAATAATATTAATTTTTACTTTCCGTTCCTTGTAGGTGATGAACAGAAATTACTTGCGTAATTTGAGTATCAGGAGAAATAATTAAAGGAAGATTAATACTCAATTGTTTGCAATAGAAAATTTATTAGGGCTTAAAATAATGGAAATTTAAAAAAGATTTCAAATTAATATATTTAATTGCTTGATATATCTCTGATATTTAAAAATAAATTGAATTCTTGCTTTAATTTATATGACATTACTTAATTTTTAACAAATACCTTCGCAGAAATGGAAGAACGAAAACATATTTTTTGAATTTAAAAATGTTATTTCGATATAGAAATTAATATGTTCTAGTTTTTCTTTCTTATTGTTCTTTACTAATTTTTTTCTAATTTTTACTAATTTTTTTCTAATTTTCACTAATTTTTTTCTAATTTTTACTTATTTTTTTTTACTAATTTTCTTGCTTTTTACAAATTTTTTTCTAATTTTTACAAATTTTTTTTTTACTAATTTTCTTACTTTTTACTAATTTTTTTACTAATTTTTTTACTAATTTTCTTTCTTATTGTTTCTTACTGTATTTTTTTTTTCAAATTGCTATGATATTGAATTTTAGAAGAAATTCGTATTCGAACACTTTCTGAATGAAATCTTTGTACTTTTTCACAACAATTATGAAAAATTCATTCAGAAATAAATATGCTTAATTCAACTGAAATGATTCAAGACAGATATTTATTCTAATTTTATCGCCTTTAAAAAGAAATGGTGAAGAATAGGAATTAGTTATTCGATGAGCAGGGAAAAATATATTGTTAGCAAATGAATAATATTAAATTGGTTGAAATAAAATTTTACATACTCTTTAAATAAAGAGAGATTAGAGAAAATTTAATACGATCATTAAACTAAAAATATTGCTAGTTTTAAAATATTAGTTTGCCCATTGAGTTTCTGCACATAAAATTTTTATTCTCTGTGACTTTTATGAAAGTTACTATGATTTTGATAAATACTTTACACTATACTTCTTTCGATACAGAAGCACAAACATATTAATAAATTACTTATATTATAATATAATATTTTCCTTTGTTGATATCCAAGCCGGAAAATCCATACTCGGCAAAATGGTTTGGAAGCATGGTGTGTAGACGGAGTGATAACTATCACCACCCACTTTCGAATCTAAGATCTACAAGTTCAGGGAGCGCATGCATCAGTGTTGGCTTTTGATCTTCATTTGGGATAAATTCCAGAAAGTCACTAATACTTTACTAGGGATGCCTTAGTTCAATGTTAACAACCAAACTTATCGTTACTGAAGTAAAAATGTTATTTTTCTTCTTCTATTCTAAAACCCTATTAAAACAATTGGTATTTAAAAACAATTTTTAAATTATAAACTATTTTACAACTAGAAACTTATTTAAATGTTATTTTTATAGAAAATAATGGATTAGTAGGTAGCTTTCAATTTTGTAAACACATAAAAGGATAGAATATATCGTAAAATATGAATGATATTTATAACTATGAAACATAGTATTTTTGAATAAGCTTTATATAACTAATAGCATAAAATATAACAGTTTCGACTGAAGTAATAGCAATTTTACATAAGTAATGTCCCTGAATTTGCGATTTTTTTCCTTATATCTAATAACTAAAGAAAGACACGTACTCACACTCGCATCTCCTGTTCCCGTTGTTTTTGATGGTGCTGCGTCAAAGTGTGATTCGCACCAACCTGTGGTGCCCAATGCGGATGGTGATGGTGCATGTGATTAGAATGAGGTGGTGTGTTGCGTGAAGTTGATAAAAGTGGTTGAGCTTCTGGATGTTGCTGTGGTTCATGGGTTATAACTGATGGTGGCATGATCTTTGAAGGTAGAGAACCCGCTTCGGATAAAGTAGCAAGGGTCATAAAGGATGGCGGTGGAAGGTGGTCCATTGGAGAAGGTACAGAACTTATTAAATGAGCTTGTTTTGACTGTGGTGTGGAATTGCAACTAATACCATCGGGATGCAACTGCAAAAATGCACAAAAAACTGTGAAAAACATAGAAAAATAATGTACCTAAGACGAGGTTTAAAAACTTAATAGTTTGCAATGATCGTGTAATAAAAACAATTTTCATACAATGCAAAATTGCTAGACTGCAAATTTGTATCACAAGTTCTTCCAAAAGATGAAGATATTAAATATCACAAAATAAGCATAAGTCATTATGAAGGAATATAAACCTCGTGGATACACACGCTTAGCCGTTTTATTAAACTTTTCTGTTCTAGGTTTTATATATACAAATAAATAAATCTAATGATCCATTGAGAGTGTTTTTCCTCTAATAGTAATAAAAAAACACTCAATATTTATTAAACTCACAAATAGATAGACTAAATTTTAAACAGATTGCAATGATTAAAAGAAATTATGCTATGCTGTAAGTTTGCATCATAAGCTTTTCAAAAGATAAAGATATTAAATATAAAAAAATAGCATAAGACATTATTACGAAAAATAAAATCCTCATAGATATATGCATTTATCCGTATCCTTATTTAAATTCTCCTGTTTTAGATTTTATTCAAGTAAAATTATGATCCATTGAGAATTAAAATTATGATCTCAATTTTTATTAAACTCAAAATTGCTTAAAACAGATTACAATGATAAAAAAAAATTCAGGCTAAGCTTTGAATTTGTATCATAAGCGTTTTCAAAAGGATATTAAATATCACAATATAAGCTAAAATCATATCATTTTAAAAATACGTAATTCTCGGGAATCTACGCAGTTAAAAGTTTCCTTAAATTCTTTTTTTTTAATTTTTTCATAGATAAATAAATGATCCGTTGAGAATTTATTTTTTCTGATATTGCCACACAGCTCCCAATATATATTAAACTAAAAATGCTCTAAAAATACTTAAAAAAAAAGCCCAAACAATGCACAGAATGATAAAGATTTACATCAGTAAAATAACATAAAAATATGACCGAGCTGAAAAAATCCATTAACTCATTCCTTTTAAATTGCGCTATGATTTTTAAAATCAATAAAACAAATCCTATGAGAATACTTATCGGCGGAAATATTGACTTAAAAATATTCATTCTTTATATTTTGAGTCAAATGAAATGTGCAGTAACAACAGTTTCATAACGCGTAAAAATTTTATTTTTTTCAAAATACAAAAATCACTTTTGGCTCGCCTTACTCACGGAAGACATCTGAAAATTATGGTATTCATTCAATTGTATCAGATCCTCACACCTAAGAATTTTTCAAAGACATCTATTTCAGAAAAGTCTTATTTTTCAAAGTTTTATTTCCCTTGGGTTTCTCTGAAGGATACTAGCTCTATTGGGAATTACAACACAGTCGTAGATGTCTTGTACAATTTCGCTATATTTTTTTCTACTCTTCTTTTTATTCCGTTTCTTATTTCTTTTCAAAATGGCTATCCTGTTACGAAGAATACACTTGAAATTTTGAGATTAAATTCTTGGGCTATGAAGTAAAAAGTTGAAGTATTTTATCAGAAGTCATGAACTCTAAATTTCTTTTTTCTGATTTAGGTATGTCAGGCGAAATATAAATAAATAAATAAATGTTTTAAGTGTTTAAAGTATGGAATATATATATATATAACGAGGGGGGTAAAAATACGGTAAATTAGTTAGGAGTCTTTGAACTGAACAAATAAATGTTTGATGTTTAATGTTTTTTTTTAAATAAATGTTTGATGAAAAATTTCAAAAGAACAACAATTAATGCTTTGTAGATTGAGCAGTATTTTTTAAAATAAAGTTTATAATTAGATATTTTCACTTTTTTGGGAAAAAAATATAGAATGATAGGTTGATCAATTTATTATTGTCAGTTTAAAATGCATAGGAAGTGAGAATTTTTCATATCAGTTATTATAATTTAAATTTATAAGAATATGGGAATTGTAGGTAACATTTTGACCATAGCTAATACCAATATCAATATATCAATATCAATATATCAATATCAATATATCAATATCAATATATCAATATCAATATATCAATATCAATATATCAATATCAATATATCAATATCAATATATCAATATCAATATATCAATATCAATATATCAATATCAATATATCAATATCAATATATCAATATCAATATATCAATATCAATATATCAATATCAATATATCAATATCAATATATCAATATCAATATATCAATATCAATATATCAATATCAATATATCAATATCAATATATCAATATCAATATATCAATATCAATATATCAATATCAATATATCAATATCAATATATCAATATCAATATATCAATATCAATATATCAATATCAATATATCAATANAATATCGATATATCAATGTATCATATTTATATTTTTCAATAAATGATAATATTTTGTATTTTATGTCAGTAATCTTCTTTTCTGAAATAAATTGAGCTTTTTTCTGAAAATTTTATTGATGCATAATTATATTATTGTAATACTAAAGATTTCTTGCACTGGAGGGTAAAATTTATGCTTTCAGTTAGAATATAAAAGTCATAAATATTTTCCAAAAATGAAAAGCGAAAATCACAGGTTTTCTGCATTGTGTTATTTTGAAATGAAGTTAGAATTGATTACTAAGTAGGGTATGTTATATTCTACGGCATAAGTAGCTATTTTTAAAATGCTACTAATTATTAGCATCAAAGTTCAAATTAAGAAAATTAAGCTTCCTTCGAAATGAATAAATTTTGACGAATAATCTAATATTTATATTAAATAAAAATTCTCATTTTCTATTTAGAAATCCAAATTTATTTTTATCTTGCATGGTTATGAATCGATCTAATGTAACTTTATTATTCTCTTTCAGCTTAATTTTATAGTTTTTTGCACATAAGACATTGGTGTTAAACAAGGGTGTTAAATATTGGGTAACGAAAAATCATTAAAAAGGCAAAAAAATAAATAAATAAACACAGAATTTTCAAGCAATGCAATTTGTGTCCTAAATAACAAAAGACATGCAATTTTGCAAAATGAAAAATGAAATTAAAAATTAACTATTGCTAAGGTTGAAAAATTAACTTTTTTTTTACGAATTAAAATTTTTCTTTCTTGTTCAATAACATTTTATGTCCCATTTCAAAACGGTTAAAGTTGTATAAAATTATTGAACTGGTGATTAACTCCTTCCCATAATGAATTGCAGCTATTAATGGTTCTTTGAAAAAATAATTTTCGTCCTCTTATAGGAAAAAAAAATTACTTCATTTCTTTATGAAATAGTAAAACTATTGATCTTTCATTTATCAACTAAAAAGTGCAGTCGTTAGAGATTGAGGCTCACATTAAAGAGACTAAAAGTAACTGTCAAAGAAAAGGGTAATGTCGCTGAAAGATTACTGGATCATCGTTTAAGGAAGCGGAAATTAATCTCTATCCACTATCTCTTTTCCATTTTTCCTGTTTCATTAACAGTTAACTGGAAGTCATGACAATCTTTAAAAGCTAAGAAAAGAACTTTGACATTTTAGATGCTTAATCATACTGAAATCATATCATATTACTTTTCAAGAAACGTTTGACACGCCTCTTTTCTTTAAAAACACAGTAAAGAGGAATTTAAGAATTGTTATAGTTAACTTAAACCTTTTTAATTTGATTATGAACTATTGCAAGTGTGATATTAACTTTAAAATTCTACACTTGTGAAACATCAAAGAATCGTTCAATAAATTCTATTAATTTGATTTATACTAAAATTTGCACTTTTATTAACAATTAACTGTATGCCTTGACAATTTTAAAAAACAAAGAAAGGAGATTTGACCTTTTAGATGTTTAATAATACTGAATTCATATATTATTTCTCAAGAAATATTTAACATATTTATTTTTAAAAAAAGCAATGCACTAAGAAGAAATATAAAATTATATCACCATAATAGATTGGTATTTCTTATTATTATCTTTAATAATTAGATTATAAAATATTGTATGTGTGATAATGACTTTAAAATTCTACGCTTGTAATACATCAATTTTTCAGCATTATAGATAAACTAAATTCAATTAGTTTGATATCTACTGAAATTTGTACTTTTATTAACAATTAATTGTATGTCATGACAATCTTTAAAAATTAATATAGGAAATTTGGCTTTTCAGATGTTTAATAAAACTAAAAGCATATTACATTTTTTTCTCAAATTTTTTTCACAAATATTTCTTTTTTTAAAAATATATCACTCAGAAGAAAGACAAAATTATACCACCATAAGAGTGGTGTTTCTTATCATAATCCTTAGTAATTTGATTATAAAAAATATTGTGTGTGTGATATAGACTTTGAAATTCTATGCTTGTATCACAACGAAGTACCGTTCAATTTTGACTATATTAAATTAATACTAAATACTACTTTTCTGATTTACACTAAAACTTTTACTTTCATTATGCTTGCATTGAATTATGAATGAAATTATGTTTGCGATACGCATCCAATACACAAAATCCATTCAATTATGACTGCAATAATTACACTAAAGGGTTTACTTTCATTAAAAATTAATTCATTAACAAAAAAGTCATTAAATGTCATGACAATCTTTAAATGCAAAGAAGGAAAGTTTGACATTTTAGAGGCTTAATCATACTGTAATTATATCGTATTATATTTTAATAACTGCTTGGCATGTTTTTTTTTTAAAACACTGCACTGAAAAAAAAGAGGAAATTACATAATCTTAAGAGTGGCATTTGTAATCATATTTCTTTTATTTTAATTGGAAAATATTATGCGCGTGATATTGACATTTACATTTTATGCTTGCATTACCTTAAAAAAACCATTCAAGTTTGACTAAAATAATTAAACTTTAATTTTTACTTGATGTATTGATTAATTAAAGTAAAAAAAAGTTTATTGCATCTGAATTTTATGCTGTGAAAAAAATGCTGAAATTCACGTTAAGAGGTGTTGAAGATCAAAGTGCTAGTCTTTTCCATATTTAGCTTTTCAAATCAATTATTTACCTTAAAATTTCAGGTAAGAAGAAGTTGAAGGAATAATTTATTAAAAATAAAGTATAGAACGTGTGGTGGAATTTTTACTTAGTTATCTCCGGGAGAAGAAATCGTAAAGCATGTCTCAGCAGGATATATAGTTTCTTTCTATACCTTTACTCATTCTTTCCCTTAGATCATTTCTATTATGTCTTCGAATTGGTTTTTCTAGTTTGAACTGCATATCAAACAAAAATTCCATTATCACGAATTTCTTCAGAAATGCTTGACTAGTATAAGTTACAGTGAAAGTAAAATAGTACTGTAAAGAGAACATTTAAAAGATTTCCTTAAAATTTTTCCTACATTTTCAGGATCTCTTGAGTCACTCGAAGCAACCAGTTAAACTTTTCTACTTTATTATGTTCAAATAATATCTTTCTAACTGGTTTGATTTAGATTCAAATTATGTATACATTTATTTCGTATTTATGTCTCTTTTGTGATGAATTTATTAAAAATGCCTAAAAATATTGATTTATCATACACTGTTAGAAATTTCTCGGAAAAAATGGATAATTAATAAATTATTTATTTGGTATTTTACCACATCCAAACGAAACAGTCAAATATTATAAATTAAATGGTATTCAAACTGCTGACAAAAAGCTGCCTATAAACTGCTTTCACCTAATATGGTTAAACAATCAAAATTTTATCTCACCAACTAAACCCCCCTTATGAATGCCCCTAGTACCCTACGGGTGGGCACATATTATAGCCGAGAAGACAAATCTGTCAATATTATGAATGGCAAAACGGGAGTTCTGTTATTGAATGTCAGACTGAACATCTCAATATTTCTTGCACTCCCTAATTTTTAACCCGGGGGATTTGGAATATGATACACTTACACATAAACAGCAGCACCATAAAACAGCAAAAGCGTCTCCAACATCCAGTTAAGTTTCCTTTTTACAGTTTTGAAACCATGATGGTTGTAACCATGAATACAAAATTACATGTTTTTTTTTTATCATACTAGTTGCCAAGGGTTTCAAACCTGTAAAGGTAAAATAAGTTCTTTATCGTAAACATTACACTTAATCGGAGAGGCAGACTGCTGCTTGTTTTTTTACGGTAATTTTGGATTGAAAATTCTAACTATGTATGTAAAGTCTTTGTATCTTAGCGCTCTTTATAACTCATTGTTTTGTGCTGTGAAAAATGCTACCGTCTGGAAAATTTTGTATTCAAGATAGCTCTAATAATAGTTAGATAGAAAATTTTGCAATTTGTCCTTGATTTCCTAAAACAGAATTTATGGTTACCAGAAACTTGCTTGATCGTGTTGTCACCATTATGATTGCAGTCATAACAGTCGTATCGTTATTTGTTTTTATCTCAGTATACAATTAGATGTATACAATTAGAAAGATTAGCTGAAGTAATTTTATGGCGGAATTCCAACTTTCAAATTTACTTGTACCATCCTTCTGAGTTCACTAAAAATGCATAACAAATCAAGTTATATAATATACTTTACCTGATATTCTCTTTTTTGCAGGCAATCAGCTCTATTTTTGTCCTTTTTGTGAAATATTGCACAACAAATAACTGAGTTTATTGCCACGATGCATGCACCAAACACAACAGCTATAATCAGCACTGTTGAGAAAGTAGCTTGCTGCATTGTCATGGCCAGAGTATCAGTATCGTTAGACGTCGTAACTGATTGAAAACTACCATCAGCTGTTGTTACTATCATAAAAGGGGTTGTAGTTATTTGATCAGCAGACTGCTGTGACGATGTGAGAAATGGCGTGGTGCTGTAGAAGAGGGAAATATTTGCATCACCTGCAGGCCGTTCCCGAAATATTCCATCGTAAGAGAGAGGGTTGTCATGGTCTTCCAGTTGGTGATGTCGAGACGATGTTTCGGAAGCTGCAGACTTGTGAAGAGTCGGAATAAGATTTAACCAAAAAGACAAACGATGGGCATGATAATGATTTTTCAGTTTGGGCTTCATTGCTGTCAAACAAAGAAAATTAATATCAAACAAAGAAACTAACAAATTACAGTAGGAATTTCATTATTAAATTAATAATATACTGATACCAGGTTGCAAATGTAAGCATAACTAATTTAGTAATTTCTATAAAAATCAACGACTCCTTCATTAATTTGAGGTACTAAAACTTAATAAGAATTTTCGAAGACTTAATTTTGTATGGTATAAATGTCAACTGAAGGAAATTTAAAATTTGCAGTTAAATTTTGGTTATTGTTAACTTTATTTGCTTCCCCATAATAGCACAATTAAAGTTCCTATCATCTTTATTGAGGTAGGAAAGTATATATTTTGTTGAAGCAAAATAATTCTTAACTTAATTCTAAGCATATTTGAGCTTTTTCTATAAATTTAACTCTAATGAGGTATTTAATTATCGACTATGCCAACCTTCATCTATCAAGAGGTACCTAGTGATAGAATCAAGTTAGCATGTGTTATATAGTAGTGAATTGGTCTTTAATATTTGTAGTGGTAGTTACGCCACACTAATAATGAGAAAAAACCTAATAAGCTGATTCGGCAATATTGCTGGGTTTCAAAAGTATAATAATGAAAATTAATTGATTTGTATAGCTCAATTTTAAAATACTATAACTCGTTTTTGTATAATATTATGATACCATAAACGATGACAGGAAATTTTCAAGGAAACTTTTCTGCAGAAGGGGTAAGTTTTTTTTTGAAGATAAACCGTTGCATTCTTGCTTTGGTACTATCTTTCCAAGACTAGGTTAAACAACTGAGTGGAGTTCTCTTGCGAAAAAAAACATTTGTTTGGGAAGTATTCGATCTTGAGCAATCCAAAATTTACTGGAATAGACATTCCTAAAAGCACTCCTTGATTATTTTTTTCGTTTAACTCTAACATTAAGCTATATGATTTTGAAATATATCTGTTTTGTCAAAACATGATAACAGATTTTTTTAGACATATTTTTTTAGAATTTTTTTATATGTAACTAATTCTATACTCTAGGGACTTAGTAGTTGTTTAAACTTATAATCACCTATCAAATATTTTTTTAATGATGCAATTATAATATAATGTTTGTAGTTTATGAGATATTAAACAATTATTTTTTTTTCTGAAAAAATATCTTTCAGAAGGATGAATCTGAAGAATCAGTTCTTGGGTTATTTCAGAAGATTAAGTTGAACCCTGTTATTGGATGAACAAAAATCCGCGCAGATACGTTGTTTTTTTCCCAAAGAAAAGTCAATATGCTTGTCTTTATGATCATATATTTTCTTTTAAAAACTCACATTCCTTGAATATAAATATAGATGCTATAAAAAGGTTAAAATTAGGGTTTAAAAAAGGTTAAAAAATGCAAAAACTAGGATTCATTCTGAATGTATACAGATGTACAGTGGACCTTTTGCAGTCTATAATCACCCCAAATATTTCTAACTAGCAAGAGCTATTGTCAAAAATGTGGGGTCAAGTTATGGTAGAGTTACCATGCGCTACGCAAGAAGACAGCTTACAGTGCCACCTGGCAATGTAATTTGTAGTTACTCTTATCTCAAAAACGGTATGCGATCGCAAACGAAGTTATTCTGTATCATCAATTCGCTAAGAGAAGAAGCCTTCCTTGCAGTAATGTTAAAACGTCTTCCTGACAATTTTTGAATGACAAAAGCTTTTGTCATAAAAGTGGCTCAAGTTATAGTAAAGTTGCCAAGCACTAAACAAGAAGACAGAAGTCAGTTACGAAGTTGTTCTGTATCATCAATTCACTAAGAAAAGACACCTTCCTTGCAGTAATGCTAAAAATGGAAGAGTTGGATTGCATTTTTATCTGGTTTGCAACTTACGAAATTGCAACACTACTTACTGCAGAGTAAAAGAGAAACTGCTACAATCCTGAGCATCTCTAGGCATAACAGTGTTGAATCGTGCATGATTACAATACCCGGTTTCAGTTTCTGCTGGTGCACGCTGTCCTTATAACTTCCGAAATCAAATTAGTTGGCGATTTGGATCGTGCATTATCATTTAGCAAGCACATCAACTCAACTCAACACTCATTGGTATGCGAAAAGGGAAAATTTTAGAATTATGCAAATAAAGATTACACGTCATACCTCTGCGCCAGACACAAGGAAAAAAAAAGAGTTCCACGTGGGGTATGTTGTGATTTTCTACAAAGGAATATTGTGAGTAACTATAAGTTCATTTCCAAAACTCAGATCATTACATCACTAGTTATTCAAGGTGATATTTTTTATTCCGCACTGTTACCTTAAGAAAAAACGAGTTTAGTATTCATTTTACTTTTTAAAGATATTCTTGATACTCGTAGCACTAAAAAAACTTATTATTATTGTCTTCCATTCCAGTATTGCACACAAACTAGTTCTTTTTAAATAAATATATTTAAATGTATTAATACCGATTTATATTTAAGTGTGTAAGATTACATTTAGATATGTACTTAATAATACAATAATAAAAAGTAATGTTTGAATATCAATCATTTAAATAAATACTATCTAATAGGAAAATTGTGCTTAGAGTTCATTTGTTTGGGATTATATTCCACACATTTCTTCCTTTGTAAATGATGAAGGAAAAACTAAAAATAACGCAATCCTGAAAGAATAACAGAATAACTATATTTAAGAAAAAAACAACATTGTAGTTACTGATCAGTAAATATTTATCTATTTGATGTTATAAATATTAGTTTATTATAGTGGCATTTATTGTGAATGAATTGTCTTAATAACTGAAAGTACGTTTCTGACATATTTAAATTTTAATATTACAGTAGTGAAGCTATTTTTATTCCAAATAAGATTTAATTTTTTTTAAAAAGAACCATATTATGTTTGAAAAATTTTATAATACTTTAAAATAAAACATGTAATTTAACCTGTTTACCTTTCATTAATGCATAAATATTTACTAACTTCGCATTTCGAATACTTATAGGTATTATTCAAGTGAGGCAATATTTAATGTTAATGCCCACAATGAATTAATCTGAAAATTAAATTTCAGTTTCACAAAAAGATATGGAAATTAAATTAGAATTATTTAAAATCAAAAAAATTTCATTTTACGAATCAAACATAAACGAAAAAAGGGTAGCTTCATTTTAATATTAAATTATGACAGACGGCACGTGAATCAAAAGCAACGTCAACTAGCTTTTCAGGTGGAAAAGATTCCTCAATTTTTTGCCTGTACGATTCTCCAGGAATGAAATGAATAAATTATTAGGAATATTTGCCTGAACAATTGCGAAACACTTATGAATATTAATATTTTCTTGATGGTTAAGCATTATTGTTGCGGTATTTTCTCCAATTTTTGAACCGACACAGCATATGGTAATGAATACGTAACTTTTGAATATTTATGTTTTATCTTTTTAAATGCAATTTTATGCAGAAAATCAAGAAAATGGGGAAATTATATAAATCATCAAAGCATTTCTCAACGGATAAAATTTATCAATATCTGAATTAAACTTATTTAGGAATTTTATTAATTTAATTGTTTACTTGACATAATTTAAAATTTTCTGTCAATGATTGTTACATTTAATGCTAAACAATAAATGCATGCTTCAAATTGATTTATCAAATAAATTCTTTTAAATTTTTTGAAAAACAGAATCGATAAAATTAAAAGAAATATAACAGTTAACTCGCGGTTTTAAAGCAACTGCAAAAAACGATATAATTATTTCGTAAAGTTACGAAAAGGTAAAACAAACCTGTTAATACTATATTTAGTTTATGAAAAATTTAGCGCAGACTAGAAAAAAATAAACATTATATGCTACTCCTTTTATTTTTTTATTATTATTTTTGATTAAATGCCCAGAGGTGAAAAATTAATTGTAGTAATTGTCTTTTGGAGTTCATAGTTTGAATAACAAAAATGTTATAGTGGTTTTTTTCAATGTCTTATTATTTATTTTAGATTTAGTCTTGATTTTATTTGCTTAACTAAAAATCGTTTTTGTTTCTTTTTAGCGTTAACAGTTCTTTTCTAAGTATAAAACCTATTTACCAAGTGCAATGTATTTTTGATGAACGCTATCGTAGAGCGGCCAATTTATTTTTTCATATCTTCCACGTCCTCGCTCTCCTCCTGATTTTCCTTCTTCTTCAAGAGAATTTGGATCCCTAAAATGTAAGCAAATTAATAGTAATTAATAGCAAAACTAAGAATACTAATTGTTTAATTTGTCAACCTTTCCTTAAAAAATATTGAGTTTATGAACATATTTATTTAAGCACTTTATTAATAATAAGTTTTGTCGGAAATTTATTAAGCGTCAACCTGCATAAATAAATTTCATAATATTTTTGTAAATATTTTAAGTAATCTTCCCCCCAAAAAATTCGCATCTACTGTAAAACATATACTTGCACAGTTTAAGCAGTTGATGAAAAAACGATTACTTTTACTATGGAATTTAAATTTAAATGAAATGTGTATGTATATGCATATGTTACAATGCTGCGAGGATCTAAGAATATAGTTATCTTTTAGTAATTGTTATAAATATTTCTAGTATAAAGCAGTTTAAAAGCATTTACTATGTGCATACAACAAAAATATGCGTCTACATATTTTAGGTATTAATTGATTTCCTTTAAGAAAAAAATATATTTTATTAATATATACACTAATTATACTCTTTAAAAAGGACATTTTTGCCATGCCTTTTTTTTCTAAGAAGTCACTATTTTTGACGAGAAGCGCTGTTCAATTTAACAGCATAAACTTGCTTTATGCTTTGAGTGAAAAAATATTTAACAATAATTAAATAAAAATATTAAAATATTAACTTTTTAAAGAGGACATTTTTTCAATTCATAAAANTGGTGGTTAAAGGGATGGAGCTATATCTTCCCAATGAGGTGTCGGGTTCGAATCCCAGTGATGGCTGTTTGATACGACATCCGCACCCTCCGTGCATCGCCCACAGAGATGACGCAAATTATTCTCAGTGGTAGACAGATCATGGATTTAAATCCTGCTGCTATCAAGCATACCATGGGATGGTTTCATTTTTTTTTCCTCTCTATATGACGAAAATGCGGATTAGTTCAATCGAAAAACCTGCACGAAGGCAAAGTTGCCCCAATGCTTGATACAGGAGATTCCTTGTCTTCTGTGTTGGGTTCGGAATTATTTGGCTATGGAGTTGTGCATTGATAATCGCTACTCAGAATTTGGTTGACTGTTTAACAACTGTAATACAATAATTAAAAAATAAAACGGAAACTTGGAAATTAAAATGTAACTACTTTTGTGGATACCTTAATAAATACTTATAATTTTATAAAATTAATTTCGAATAAAGGTAAATTTACGAAGTTCATTCAAAATATTAGATATTGACTTCAAAAATAAAAATTCAAAATACAGTACAGAGACCAGAAATGATGTGAACCTAAGGTTATTCTTGCTATGTACAACTTTATTTGTGTAGATAATATGTTGTTTGTGTAGACAATATAAACAGATTTCACGAATTTGAAGCATATATAGCGAATAAGCTTGCTCAGAGACAGTTACTTTTTGTATCTGGTTTCATAACTTAAAATATCGTCTACATTAATTAATTAATGCATTTCAGATAAGGCTATCGAGACATTATTTTTGAGTTATAAGTGAAAATCAGAAAATTCGATAAAAACGCAATTCAGTGTGTTTGATTTTTTAATTGTAATTTTTCAATGAGTAACATAAACAAAACACATAAGTAACAATACGTAACACTACAAAATTCCGAATTCGTTAAAAATAAATATGTTTTTTTTTTTGAGAAAGTTGTCATTTTTCTATCAGGTATCACAAGTTAAAATATCGCATCCACTAATTAATTAGTGCATTGAAGATATGACCATCAAATAGCATTAATTTTGAATCCAGTTATGTGAAAATCCGATGATTTGATAAAAAGTTTGTCAGCGGGTTCGCTTTTTTCATCTGACAGTTTTGATAAAGCAGTGTTTTTGTAAAATTTTTTATCTGCATAATTTCTTTCTCAAAAATTTCTTTATTTCTACAAAAGAGAAGGAACAAATATAAAGTTTATCTGGCACATGCTGCTCTACATGCACGATACAATAACGTTATTCGCATGTGCATTAAAATTAGAGTTCTAGCATAAGGGGCTTAATTACAATTTGCTAAAAATTTTGTTGGTTGGGAAACTTGGAATGGGAAGCACAGTTCCACCTTGGCCTAGATAATGAAAAAATTTTAAAACGAAGATGGAGATGACTCGTCCATATACTAAGAACAGATGGAAGCAATTCGGCAAGTGTTTCAAGCTTAAGGGTGCCGGACGGAAAAGAGAAAAGGGGGGAGACTGAGACTAAAATGACAAAGATATACATTAAGGAAGATCTTAGTAGAGCAGGACTAATTTTATGGGAAGAAGCACGTTGCCTGGCTGAAGACAGGAGTGTGTGGAGACGAAGACTCGAGGCCTTATGTGCCAGTTCGGCACGACGAAGATAAGTAAGTAAGTTGAATTGTTCTAAGTTTCATTTTCTTGATCATTTTTTTGTGAAATTTTAACAGTTATGATAAGTTTGGCACAAATTAAAGATCAATTTAAACGTCTTAGAAGCTTTTTTGTAATCCTTTGTCTAGGTAATCTATCAAATCCCTGAGCAATTGTTTCATACTTTGCAGTTTTATAAAATATATATAATGCATTGAATTTTATGTAAGTAAATTTTAAAACAAAAATGAATTTTTTTTCTCTGTCCTACTTGCTTCGAATAAAAATGAAGTTCTGTGTCATAAATGGATAGAAAAATATTTAATTGCTAGCTATTTTATTAATTTAAAGCGTGAAGTGACTAATATCTTACAGTTGTGTTTGATTTGATATTTAAATATGTTTGGTACATTTTGATGATATCTTATTTATTTTTATTTAAAAAAATAGTGAAAGATAACTTAAACTTCATACAGAAAATATCATAAATAAAAATATTCCTCGAATATATGATGTTTGTAATTTGCATTACCTAAGTAACTATGAGCCAAAAAATATGATTATTTTATAGAAGAGGGAAATGAAATAGAAATTTCAATTTAATATGTACCTCGTGATGTATCAAATATTTAAATAACTGTTTGCGAAGGAAATTGAGAAACATATTTTTCCAACTAAACATGTTTTTCTTTCTAAAGTAATTAAAGATACTTCGGAAATGTACAGCAGAGACTAAAAACTTTGTTACTTTCATAAAACAAAAATATAGTTTAGTGCTACAAAGTTTATTTAATGTAGCCATTTTCAGAAACAGGATTTAATTTATAAAAGTCAACTTGCACTTTACAGCGTTTTATTTGAACAAGATGCTTTAATATCCTTTAAAATGTTTTGACTGGGCATAAGATTATTTTGTTACTTTACACATGAAGAGATCAAATATTGAATCTAAATAAGATGTAGTAGGGAGAATTTCCTCCAAGTTTCTATTATTGTGTCATATTTTCGTAGTTTTCTATATTTGTAGGCTTCATTTTTCAAAAAAAAATATAGAAACATGAGATGCTTGGTATTAAAAGATACGCGAATCTGAAGTGCTAACATATTTCAAAAAGACGCGATTATCACAACCATACATGGCTGGCCCTGAATTTGAAAAATGTTGCATTGGATACTTGAATATATCTATAAATATAACAGAAATGACGTAAAAGGATTCTGAAAAGAAACAAATCTCGGTTGTGAAATATTTTTCATAACGGGGATTTGAATGGATTTATGTATGCATCGAAAAGAATACTAAATATGCATTATAGTTTGGATTTTAAAATAACATTTTATCCTTAACAAATATAAGTATTTTAAAATATTATTGATTCATTGTTCATAATATTTTAATATCTTTTGGGAATACACAAAGAACGTCATTAATTAAGGAACTTTCTCGAATGGGTCATAGTAGTAAATTTAAACATTTTGCATTAAACTGCGAGGAAACAATTTATGTACTATCCAAAAGTCTTCAATATAAAAAGATACGCATCACTGAAACACATATCAGTATACGTAACGCATACTAATATCTTATATACTTAAATAATTGTATGCGTATACTAAAATCAAAATAATATTTTTTTCTAAACATGATATAATTATTCTATATTTTTAGAAGAAGAGATAGATATATTTTACTATATCTTTAGAACTACGTGTACATTGTGCAAAATAAAAAAAGGAACCATCCTTAATAACTTTTGTTTGAATGATCGTATTTACATGTAATAGGACTCACTATAAATTATTCAAGATGGTGATCTCAAATGTTAATTAATTAGTGCAAAGCGATATTTTAATTACAAAATCAGACGAAAAAACTTACTTTCTCAGAATAAACATATCTATTTTTTCGACGGATTAGGATGTCTGGCCCCCCAAAATAAGGGATAGATAATTTTTATAATATGGTTTTTTTTTAAAATTCAATTTCTCAAGAACTATTTGACCGATTTCCCTCAAATCATGTATTTTGCCATGCAAAATTATATTCCTTCAAATGATGCAAAAATCATTAAAATTTTATACCTTATCATTAATATTTTGACTCATATTAAATAAGATAATAAAAATGTAATAATATTCATGACAAGTTATTTTTTTATAGATTTATCTTTGCATAAACGAGTTTTATGATTGTGTGCAAAATTTTTTGATTCTCTTAAAAACTTTCGAGATAAGACAAAATACGCAAATGTAGAAAAAAAAACCCGACCATTAAAAACCCCGAACCATTAAGAGCGTGAGTCCAAGAACGTGAGGATCCGATCATTAGATAAAAAGGTATTCAGGGTGGCTTGTTTTTATTTCGCACACTGTACATAATTGCAATCAATTAATGCCTAAAACTCAAGGCATTATTTTCAACTCTAAAAAAAATAGACCAAAAATAAATGATTTTATGAATAAAATTTATTGTTTAGTGAACTTATAAATATGGTTTCTTTTAAGAAGTCCACATCGATTCTTAAATTTAAACACGTGTTTTAGAATTTGAAGATTCTACTTTCTTTTTCGAAGCATCTGAGCGGAATATAAAATATTACTTTAAAAATAAGTCTTAAAAATGTTCCTAAGATAGCACTGAGATCGTGCTTTGAAAAATTT